GTAGCGATGAATCGTTTTAGCGCGTCAATGAAAGCACCTGTTGAGAGGTCTCTTACCAACTCCATCCATACAGCCTTTGTGGCGAAGCATATGAAAACGCTTATGTAATCAAGAAATGGTGATAGAGAAACAATGCTGCTCGAACTCGGGACGCAACTATTGGCCTGCAATGCAGTGTACTCCAGCCAAAGTTGCGCTCTTTGTACTAAGCGAATAAGCAGTTGAGTTCCATGGTGAATATCTGCGGCTGTCAGTTGCGAAGATCTTGGCGATTTTTGAATCTTGACAAATTTGCTGACGTGCCCAAAAATCTGCTTCCAAATGAATTAATGCACTTGAAAGAAAGCGAAATGTCATTGTGGTCATGTGCGGCAAGCAACACCTTTTGTCGAAATTCTGGGAGTTTTGGTTTGTGGCACACACATTCTCGGGCAGCTGCCCTCCAATTATCGCAAAAAATGATCGGCCGTGCATCCAAAGTGTAGATTCTAGAAGTTCCTGGGGGTAGCTCCTTGTGATAAAATGTCAGCCTGACTCATTGCTGTCGGAACATAGTGCCACCGCATGCCCTCCGTTAATTGATGTATGGTGGAAATTCGGTTAGCGACAAATACGTTAAACTTTGCTGGTTCTTCTCGAAGCCACGAGACGACAGTGGAGGAATCTGACGAGCAACGAAATGAACAGTTAACAAGCCTCATTTTTATAAACTCACCCATGAGTTGTGCAATCATTGTTGCTGCACAGCGTTCCAGCTTGGGCACGGTAATAGTCTTCAGTGGAGCGACACGAGCCTTCGAACACAACAGGTACACTTGTACGTTGCTATCCTTGGCTGAGCGTGTATAAACCCAAGCCTCAAAAGCTTCAAGCCTTGCATCGCAAAATGCATGAATTTCTGTAATAGCCCCAGGCTGCAAGACGTAACGAGGAAATGATAGATGCTGTGTGTCTGCAAACCCGTTGCAAAAGGCAGACCAGGCGGTGTTTAACAATTGCGGTAGACTGACATCGCACTCAAGCTTATCTCTCCACATCCGTTGCAGCAGAATCTTCGCCTTGGTCAGCGTAGGGCCAATTAGTCCAAGGGGATCGTAACAGCGAGCTAGAGTAAACAACGCAGAGCGTTTTGAGTTTTTACCGAGTTCTCGTTGTGGCACAAATGAAAATAACAGCTTGTCCTTGACCGAATCCAAGATTATTCCCAGAGCTTTGGTGATGTCACTACCATCGTCAAACTTAAGGAAACTTTCCTTGCCTACATCAGGAACATCACGAAGGATGCCTGGACTATTAGAGCCCCACTTAAACTTAAAGTTTCCTTGACCAAGGAGGCTAGTTGTTTGCAGTTTGATATACAGTACTTCTTCCGTCGAATCGCCTCCAGCTATTAAGTCATCTACGTAGAGGTCTCCGTGCACTGTTTCTGCACCAATGGGATAAGTCGAGGATTCGTCAGCTGCGAGTGGGTGCATGGCTCTTGTGTCCAGAAATGATGCAGGCTTAGTTCCATAAGTCGTGTCTAACTTATAAATGCGAAAGTTTTCTTGAGAAGACTCACACCACAATATGCATTGGAGCATGTTATCCGGTGGAGTGACGCGAACACACCTATACATCTTACAGATAACCCCAGTAAGTGCTATAGGAAAAGTACCTAATCTAATAATAATAATAAAAAGTTTCGACTGAATAGTTGGGTCTGCAATGAGTAGGTCGATTAGCGAAAAGCCCGAAGTAGTGGATACAGAGCCATCAAAAACCACTCTCAGCTTTTTTATGATACTACCATCCTTGATGACGCAATGATGTGGCAGAAAATACTTGCATTGTTGAAAAACCTCGTTGGTAACTAGCGACATGTGGTCCAGATATTGCTTTATGAAATTAATATATTCTGTTTTAAGATCAGGGTTATGAGCGAATTTTCGTTCAAGACTTTCGAAGCATTGACGACCTTGCAAATAGGAGTCTCCAAGGGCCTACACACCGCGCTTCATGGGCAGACGAACTAAGTATTCGCCTGATGACAATCGCGAATAATTTTCGCGGAAGTGGGCTTCGCAGTCGAGATCTTCTTGGGAGGCCTTAGAGATCGACTCGAAGTTGTGCCCGATTTCCCAGGACTGACGCACTAAATCTTCTACAGGAGTGCCGGCAATAATATCATTGGAGGACTTCCGTCGCACCACAAATGAGGACAGTTTTGGAGCTTGTTGTACACCTCCAGATAGCACCTATTCGAATCGTGTTTTCTGAAGCAGTGGTGAACCAGATGCAAAGCGTATCTGCCCCACACATAGCAGACCGAAGATTAGTACTGCTCCGATGAGCAGATCAATTCGCTGCGGCAAGCACCGTTGCCGTTTTGGTCCAATTGGACCAAAATTGGTAGCTTCATTTTCCTTTGGTAGTTTGGTTGGTTTGTTGAAGCTTTTGGTAGGCAAAAATGTTTTGAAAAGTCAATCAAAATGAGTACTAAAATTTGTTCACTTACTTTGCGTTTACACGTTGAAAACATTGCTTTCACTTGCTGACACGTATAAGTTTTCTTTGTTTCTTCCAAATTTTACTAAGCACACAATTTTCTGCGAACAAAAACTGACTTCCCAAAGCTATGATCGATCAGCTGTTGAAATTGAACAAAAATTTGCCTATCGTCTTGAAAGAAAAATTGGTGATAGGCAATTTGCAAAGTTGGAGTGTATGCAAATTGAAACAAAATTTGTAATTTTTTTATTGAAATGCATAAAATCTCAGATTTTGTTTTTTCAAACATAAAACTTT